AAGTTCCAGCCACATCAGAGGGCTTACTCTACCATTGAAAAAGAAGCCCTCGTGCTGGTACTGTGGGCCAGACATCGCAGGTGGTCAGTCTACAGTGATCACAATCCTCTAGTATATCTCCAAGCCATGAAGGACCACAACATAAGGCTTATGCGCTGGACGCTAAGGCTGCAGCCCTATAATATTTCCATTAAATATATTGCCGGCAAAGAAAATATGTTGGCAGACTCTTTATCTAGAGTCTAATATTTTTATTTATTTAGGTAAGGATGTTATATTATTTGTGGTAACCCCTTTTCACGCTCTTTTTTTTTTTTATCCCCTGGTGTGGGGTCTTTTTTTAGTGAGGGGATGCAGGCTACCATCCGCCTGTATCTTGGACCTATGCTAGCCCGACTGACTGCTCTCTCACTCTGAGTTTAGGGTTTGGCATTTTGTCACGAGAAAAGCTGAGCTCTATCTAAGAGTTGGATGGTGGAGAGGAAAGGCGGTCCCATTATTTTGTGCCATGGCGGCACGTTTACCACTGGGAGGTGGCAGCCTAATCCTGAGCCTTCTCAGGGTGGGGGTGTGGCATGCAAAGAGTACGTAACCTTTATTCGGCGCATGTACACACCCTCATTTACAGGCTATCTCCCCCAACCAGCGAACCAGGTTGCTAAGAGTTGATGATGGGGCCCCGTCGTTCAACTAGTGACCAGGTTCTAGCCAATAAGAAGATGGTTTTGGCAATCGCAGAGGTTATGTGGGTACCGCTCTCCTGTCTGCCCTTGTCATTCCCATTCTAGAGCTGGTTGAAGCACGGTCTGCTATCTTGTGGCTTCTATTTCTGCTTTGCTTACCGTGGAGTGCACTATACTTATCACTGTACATAGTGTATATATTGCTGTTCTAAATTGGTGAAGGATAATATAAGTCTAAACTTTTTCTGCTGTGTTTATTTTGCTCCCATTACACCCGGGATAACAGGCCATTTGGAATCCTGGGTTGTAATAGTCAGTAACCATGGAGGGTCAGTAACCATGGACAGTCAGTAACCATGGAGGGAGAGTAACCCTTGAGGGTCAGTAACCATGCTGGGTCAGTAAACATGGAGGGATCAGTAACCATTGAGGGTCAGTAACCATGGACGGTCAGTAACCATGGAGGGACAGTAACCCTAGAGGGTCAGTAACCATGGAGGGTCAGTAACCATGGAGGATCAGTAACAATGGAGGGTCATTAACAATGGAGGGTCAGTAACCATGGAGGGTAAGTAACCATTGGAGGATCAGTAACCATGAAGGGTCAGTAACCATTGGAGGATCAGTAACCCTGGAGGGTCAGTAACTAAGGAGGGTTAGTAACCATGGAGGATCAGTAACCATGGAGGATCAATAACAATGGAGGATCAGTAACCATAAAGGTTCAGTAACCATGGAGGGTCAGTAACCATGGAGGGTCATTAACCATGGAGGGTAAGTAACCCTGGAGTGTCAGTAACCCTCGAGTGTCAGTAACCCTCGAGTGTCAGTAACCATGGAGGGTCATTAACCATGGAGGGTCAGTAACCATGAAGAGCCAGAAACCATGGAGGGTCAGTAACCATGGAGGGTCAGTAACCATGGAGGGTCATTAACCATGGAGGGTAAGTAACCCTGGAGTGTCAGTAACCCTCGAGTGTCAGTAACCATGGAGGGTCAGTAACCATGGAGGGTCATTAACCATGGAGGGTCAGTAACCATGGAGAGCCAGAAACCATGGAGGGTCAGTAACCATGGAGGGTCAGTAACCATGGAGGGTCATTAACCATGGAGGGTAAGTAACCCTGGAGTGTCAGTAACCCTCGAGTGTCAGTAACCATGGAGTGTCAGTAACCATGGAGTGTCAGTAACCATGGAGGGTCAGTAACCATGGAGGGTCAGTAACCATGGAGGGTCAGTAACCATGGAAGGTCAGTAACCATGGAGGGTCAGTTATCATGGAGGGTCAGAAACCATGGAGGTTCGGTAACAATGTAGGAATAGTAGCCATGGAGGATCAGTAACCCTGGAGGGTCAGCAACCATTGAGGGTCATTAACCCTGGAGGGCTAGTAACCATGGAGGGTCAGTTATCATGGAGGGTCAGTTACCATGGAGGGTCAGTAACTATGGAAGGCCAGTAACCATGGAGGGTCAGTAACCATTGAGGGTCAGTAACCCTGGAGGGTTAGTAACCATGGAGGGTCAGTATCTATTGAGGGTCAGTAACCATGGAGGGTCAGGAACCATTGAGGATCAGTAACCACGGAGGGTCATTAACCATGGAGGATCAGTAACCATGGAGGGTCAGTAACCAGTGAGGGTCAATAGCCATGGAGTGTCAGGAGCAATGGAGGGTCAGTAACCATGGAGGGTCAGTAAACATGGAGGGTCAGTAACCATGGAGGGTCAGTAACCATGGAGGGTCAGTAAACATGGAGGGTCAATAACCATTGAGGGTCAGTCACCTTGGAGGGCCAGTTACCATTGAGGATCAGTAACCATGGACGGTCAGTAACCGTTGAGGGTCAGTAACCATGGAGTGTCAGGAGCAATGGAGGGTCAGTAACCATGGAGGGTCAGTAACCATGGAGGGTCAGTAATCATGGAGGGTCAGTAACAATGGACGCTTAATAACCATGGACGGTCAGTAACCGTTGAGGGTCAGTAACCATGGAGTGTCAGGAGCAATGGAGGGTCAGTAACCATGGAGGGTCAGTAACCATGGAGGGTCAGTAACCATGGAGGGTCAGTAACCATGGAGGGTCAGTAACCATGGAGGGTCAGTAACCATGGAGGGTCAGTAACCATAGAAGGTCAGTAACCATGGAGGGTCAGTAACCATAGAGGGTCAGTAACCATGGTGGGTCAGTAGCCATTGAGGGTCAGTAACCGTGGAGGGTCAGTAACCATGGATGTCAGTAACCGTGGTGGGTCAGTTACCATTGAGGGTCAGTAACCGTGGAGGGTCAGTAACCATGGTGGGTCAGTAACCATTGAGGGTCATTAACCATGGTGGGTCAGTAACCAATGAGGGTCAGTAACCATGGAGGGTCATTAACCATGGTGGGTCAGTAACCAGTGAGGGTCAGTAACCATGGAGGTTCAGTAACCATGGTGGGTCAGTAACCAATGAGGGTCAGTAACCATGGAGGGTCATTAACCATGGTGGGTCAGTAACCAATGAGGGTCAGTAACCGTGGAGGGTCAGTAACCATGAAGGGTCAGTAACCGTGGAGGGTCAGTAACCATGGAGGGTCAGTAATCATGAAGGGTCAGTAACCATGAAGGGTCAGTAACCATGAAGGGTCAGTAACCATGAAGGGTCAGTAACCATGTAGGGTCAGTAACCATGAAGGGTCAGTAACCGTGGAGGGTCAGTAACCATGGAGGGTCAGTAACCATGGAGGGTCAGTAACCATGAAGGGTCAGTAACCATGGAGGGTCAGTAACCATGGAGGGTCAGTAACCATGTAGGGTCAGTAACCATGGAGGGTCAGTAACCATGGAGGGTCAGTAACCATGTAGGGTCAGTAACCATGGAGGGTCAGTAACCATGAAGGGTCAGTAACCATGGAGGGTCAGTAACCATGGAGGGTCAGTAACCATGGAGGGTCAGTAACCATGGAGGGTCAGTAACCATGGAGGGTCAGTAACCATGAAGGGTCAGTAACCATGGAGGGTCAGTAACCATGGAGGGTCAGTAACCATGGAGGGTCAGTAACCATGGAGGGTCAGTAACCATGGAGGGTCAGTAACCATGGAGGGTCAGTAACCATGGAGGGTCAGTAACCATGGAGGGTCAGTAACCATGGAGGGTTAGTAACCATGGATGATCAGTATCACTGAATTACGCAAGTGCAGGAAATTTCCATTTGTGGTGTTTGGAACCTGGTGTAAAATGCGCCTCACAGCATTCTGCTTTATGAAAGTTAAGACACTTGTGCAACATCTGGTTATGTTTATTGTAAACGTTTCGCCATCCAGTGGCTTTATCAATACAAATTCTTGGACATAATTAGAAAACAGAAGAACTATATACAAAAGATGAGGTAATCAGTCCCTCAGCCTTGGAGGTGGTGTTTACAACACCGTGGTTGTAGAGATTCTGAAGCACAGGTAAGGAGACTGGTGCTTATATAGGCGTCACTGAAGAGACGTGAAGCAGACGAGGGCATAGTCACTGGTAGGCGGGATTTCCCAGTGGAAGTAGGTCCTACCCAAATTGATGGGCTAGTGGTAGAAGTGAAGGTCATGTAGATGTCCTCTGAATCAAGATACCATGATGTTGCAGTGTCTGACAAGTTGTGCAAGACAGGTATAAAATACCGGTATTTTATACCTGTCTTGCACAATCTGCTTTATCCCAGATACTTAACTATAGTGTAACTAGAGTAGCAGGTGTAAGGAAAGTGGCGCTTTTATCTGCCCTTATTGACCCTGAGGTCTCTCCATGACCTGTCTTAAATTATGAGTTAAATCTACAGCTAAAGTTTTAGAAAATTAGTTAATTGTGAATTATTTTTTTTTATAAACGTAATCTGCAATGATAATTAAGTATATTTGCATGTTTATTCTAAATATTTTGTGATAGAGCTTTTGATTCACTGAATTAGAGCTGCCGTCCACTTTCATGGGTCAACTCTGACCTCCTCACATCCCTAGGCACTGCATCACCCGTACGTATTTAGTGCTTCCCTATACATATAGTCAATTTACGATAACATAAAAGAATATTGTGCAATAAACGCGAATGAGCTACACAAAATGCAGAATAACTACGGGGAGAGTTGAATGATTGCTCTAGGCCTTTCGTGTTGCACTGTAGCAGAAATAGTGCTGGAAATCCAGGAAGGTCAGTTCACATGAACGGACCTTCCTGGATTTCCTGCTCTGTTTCTGCAAGAATACTAGCTCATGATGTTTTGGTTGCAACACGAGGCCTAGAGCTATCACTGAACTCACCCTGTGGTTAAATTGCATATAAAAGGATACTCACCTTGAAGAACCAGCGGCAGTAGGTGAAGGGTGAGTAAGGGTGAGGGTAGCCAGGACTGCTGACCACGTATCTGACACCAGCACTCAGCACCACTGACGACCCGCACGGTGCCACTTCCACCACTGATCACACAGCAATAACAGTACATAGAGTAATAGAGGCTAAGACTTTGTCTAGCTTCAGAAAGGAACTGGACAATCATCTGAGAAGGGCTGGGTTTGATTAGTACCTGAGGCATTGTAGCTAATTATTGAGAAGGTTTGAGAAAAGGTAGGACAAGTGGATGGTTGGGAATGGTTGGTTTAGAGAAGGACCTGCCTGGTTTGGCCAGTGGGTCTGCTGCAGTGTTCCTCCATTACTATGCTCTGATGCACTTCATCCAGTCTTCGTATAAGTGGGGTGACTGGTTGGTACCTGTGAATACCTCACAGGAAACTGATTTTACCTTTCCATTTTGGTTAATGTGGAAGTAAAAGGGGTTTTTCCTTTTATTCAAAGTTTTGTAGAGGGGGTGGAAAAAAACAGTGAGGAGAGGAGACATGTAATGATATTTTGTACATGCCCCTTGTATTTGCCTACCAATTTTAATTTAACACTAGGAAGAAGCCTCATAGACAAATTTTAAAATTTCCCTAAATTTTTGCGAAAGTTTTGAGCAAACATACCTCCCCTTCGTCAAGGTGTGATGGTGATATCAGCGTTGCTACCCACCCCCTGGTGCTTGATGAGTTTTGGGGATGCCCGGTTTAAAGGTTCATAGTCAGCACTGAAAATTCCTTGACGAAATCTTTATGAAACCTGATCCCAGAAGTTTGTAAAAGAAGGTAACAGTACACAAAAACCCAGTATGGTAAGTGAAAAATAAAAAACATGTGCAAATCTGTGTTTTTTTATTGTAGCGCTTCCCCACCCAGTGGCTTTATCAATAGAAAACCTTCAAGTATTGAATTTTATTGATAAACCCCTGGTGTTAATTTCTACAAAAAAGTACCAGATGTTGCAATGTGTCAAATATTCAAAAGGGTTATTCTTGGTTTCATGTCCGGAGTGTTGTTGTTGTTGATGAGGTATTTCCCCTACCAACCTTTGAAGGCTTTGTACTGGGGCCTTGTAGTACCCCCAGCAGTGGGACTTGTATGGGCCAGTAACCTTCTGCAGTATTCCTTCTTCTTAGCTTTTTTTGGGGTTAATTTAGTTAGTTAATGATTCCTAAAGGGCCTTGGAAATTAAAACAAAAGGCCCAGCCCCAGGACAGAGGGGGGATAGCTGAAAACCCTCATCGGCCCCACCCCAAACCTTTACTTAAAGAACAGGGCAGCTACGTCCCCCTCAGGGGGTGGTTAATTGGAGTTCCTGAAGCATGCGTGCCCTGCACCCCCCCAAACATCAGGTGGAAAATCTTCTTCAAGGTATTGAATGTATTCATACTTATGTTGGGTTATGCCCAAGTGGAAAGTTCACCCAGGAGAAAAAAAAATACATCACCCCAAAAGCAAGCTCCCCTGCTCTATGGTCACGTATGGCCCCATCAAACCTCCGTATGGTTACAAAAATATATGCGGGATGATTTTATTGGGGCCAGCTGGCCCAGTCTTAACTCGTTGCCATGGATGGATTAAACCCTCACCTTTTTCCCCTTTTTTGCAATTGCGTTATTACTTTTGAGGTATGAATGATGATTACCTCTTTCTAAAACCCTGTGCCCCAGGCACAAGACTACGCTGTTGAACATTTAAGGCTGGGGGGACTAACCTGTTTTTTTAAACTTAAAATAATCTCATATTGATCGTGAAGGTATTTAATTGGGGCTACACACCCTATAATAAAGGTCCCCAGTTAAAGATCTTGGTATTTGGTATTGCAGCGGTAATGGAAGAAAAATTTGGGCCTTATATCTTTGATGAAGTAGGCCTATTTATGCGTGTCATTGCTAGGGGGCCTAGTTTGTGCGGTGTTGATGCTAGGGGGCCTAGTTTAGTGCAGTGTGTGCTAGAAGGCTGTTTAGTGCGTGTTTATGTTCGAGGTTAGTTTAGTGCAGTGTTTATTTTTAGAGGCTTATTTTGTGCAGGCGTTTTAGGAGGGAAAATTTGCTAAGTTTTGATGTTTGGAGGCCTAGTTTAGGCAGTGTTTATGTTACGAGGGTGTTTTGGGCAGTGCTGAGCTAAAGCCTCGTTTATGCAGTTTCATGTAGGAGGGCCCGTTTAGCGCAGTAGTCGAGTAAAGGGCCCAGTTTAGTGAAGGTTCAGTGGGAGACCAAGTTTAGTGCAGTGTTGTCTAGAAGGCCTAGTTTAGTGCGGGGTTTTATGCTAAGGGCCTAGTTTATCAGTGTTTCATGCTAGGAGGCCAAGTTTAGCGCTGTTGATGCTAGGAGGCCCGTTTAGTGAAGTGTTGATGTAAGACTGTTTGTGCAAGTTTATGCTAGAAGGCCAGGTTTTGGGTTTAAAAAACAGTTTTCTTTGATGTGGAGGCCCAGTTTAGCGTGGATCTAGGGGGGCCAATTAGGCCCGTGTTGATGCTAGGAGGCCTTGTATAGTGCAGTGTTATCTAGAGCCCGTTCAGCGCCCGTGTTGATGTTTTGGGGGCCCCAGTTTATGCAGTGTTGATGCGGGATGCCCATTTTTGTGCAATGTTGTGCAGGGGGCCAAGTTTAGCAAAGGTTGATGTGGGGGGGCCCCTTTTTAGTGAGGGTTTATGTAGGGGGGCCCCAGTTTAGTGCAGTCTTCATAAGGAGTAAAGTTTAGAGCAGTTGATGGAAGGCCTAGTTTAGTGCACGTTATAAAAAAGACTAATTTAGTGCGGGTTGTTTCTAAAATACCTTAATTAAATGGCATTGTGCTAGGGGGCATTGTTTAGTGCGGTGTTGATGCTAGGAGACCCAGTTTTGTGCAGAGTTGATCTTGAGGGCCCAGTTTGTGCAGTTTGATGTAGAGTAATTTTAGGCAGGGTTGTGCTTGGGGCCTTTTTAGTGCGTGTTGATTAGGGGCCTGTTTAGTGCAAGTTGATGTGGAGCCCTATTTAGTGAGTTTGTGAAAAGGGGCCCCTTTTTTGTTTATGCAAAAGGTTTAAAAAATAGGGGTTTAAGTTTTATTGCAGTTTTTACAGGGGCTTTTTTAAATCCCCCTTTTTTGTGATAAAAAGCCCATTGTGGGGGGAAAATTTGAAACCTTACCTAAAGGTTTTTTTTGCAAAAGTGGGGGTTTGGCTAGGAGCCTTTAGGCAGTTTTTTAGGGCCTAGTTTTTGTGCGTGTTTTATGCTAGGAGGCCTAGTTTTTGTGCAAGGTTTTTTCTAGGAACCCCAGTTTAGTGCAATGTTTTTTCTAGGAGGCCCATTTTGTGCAGGTTGATGTAGGGGCCTGTTTATGCAGTTAAAGCTAGGGGGCCCCATTTAGTGCGTGTTGATGTAGGAGGGCCTTTTTAGTGCAGTGTAAGTAGGAGCCTTTTTAGTGCTGTTTGTGGGGGCTTTTTTTTTTTAGGGGCCCCTTTGCACGATAAAAGGTAGGGGGTAGTTTGTCGTTTTGTGCTAGGGGGCCAGCTTGTGCAGCGATCAAGGGAGGAGGCCTGTTTTGTCAGTGTTGATGTAGAGGTGCCTTAGTCAGGTAGGGGGGGCCAGTTTATGCGTTTGTGTAGAGGATGCTTGTGCATGTTATGTAGGGGCGTTATGCATTTGATGAGAGGCAAATCTAGTCAATGTTATGTGGGGTTTTGCATGTTGATGCCCGAGGGGCTACATAAATGTTTATGAGGAGGCCTTAGTCTAAAATTGCCCGGGGGCTGGGGTGGCCCTTTTGGGGGTATAGTTTCGTGCAGGTTATGTAGGACGCACGTTTAGCACAGTGTTTATGTAGGAGGGCCTAGTTTAGTGCAGTGTTCATGCTAGGAGGCCCCAAATTTGCGCAGTTTTATGTATGAGGCCGAGATCAGTGCAGTGTTTTATACTAGGGGGATATTCGTCCTTTTTGATGTGGAGGTCTGTTTAGTGCAGGGGTTTGCTATAGGCCCGTTCAGTGAACATTGATCTAGGCCAGTCTATCGTGATTGCTAGCAAGATGCTCTAGTGCAGTTTGATGGTAGGAGGCCCGTCTAGTGCAGCTTTGATCTAGGGGGCCAAAAATAGTGCAGTGTTGATTTAGGGGGTCTAGTCTAGTTAATGTTACGCTAGGAGGCCCCAGTTAGTGCATGTTGACAGAAGTCTTACGGTTGATGCTAGGGAATTTTAGTGCATTGTTTATGCAGGGGCCTAATTCGTGTTTGGTAGTAAGCCAGGTTTTGGCAGTGTGCGAAAAAAAAAGGGGTAGTTTATCAGTGTTTATGATAGGGGCCAGTTTAGTGCAGCGTTTTGGGTAGGGCGCCTATTTTGCAGTGTTGATGTAGGGGCTAGTTAGTGAAACTTTTATGCTAAGGCAAAGTCGTTTATTTTAATGTAAAAGGGGGTCTAGTCTAGTGCAGTGTTGCTTAGGGGTCTATCAGCACGGTGATGCTTGGGGGCCTTTGTTTGTGAGTGTTGATGCTAGGAAAACTGTACAGTGTAGATGCTTGGAGCCCGTCTAAATGCAGTTTGATGCTAAAGGGCCGGTTCAGTGCAGGTTGAAAAAGGGGCCCGTTTAGCGCAGTTTTGATGTAGGAGGCCTGTTTGTCAGTGTTAGCAAGACGTTAGTTTAGTGCGGGGTTTATTCGGGGGCCTAGTTTAGTGCAGTGTTGATGTAGGAGGCTGGTTATACAGTTGTGTTTTAGGAGGCCCAGTATATACAGTTGTGATGCTAGGGGCCTGTTAGTGCAGTTGTGATGTTAGGAGGCCTAACAGGCGTTGTGGGCTAGGAGGCCCAGTTTTTTACTTGAATCCTACGGGCCCGTTTAGTGCAAGTGGGCTGGACGCCTGTTTGTGCAGGTTTTTTTGGAAAAACCCCAGTTTAGTGCAGTGTTGGGACTGGAGTTATTTATGCAGTGCTTTGTAGGGGCCACGTTCTGCAGTGTTTAGCTTGGAACCCAATTTAGTGCAGTGTTGATGATAAGGGTCAAGTTAAGTCTGTGTTGATGCTAGGGGGGGTTTAGTGCGGTTGAGCTAGCAGGATGCTCTATGCAGTGTTGATGGGAGGGGCCTTTTAATGCGCTTTGATTTTAGGGG